TATATTTTTTCATTGTTTGCAGCTTTGGGATTACTATGTTCCTTTGGCTGATCATTATAGTACCCGTATCCATGTGCATACAAACTGCAGTATAGTGGAACATTTGAAAAATAATTTGGATGATCAGTAGATTGAGATGTTTAGAAGAACATGTTTTGGTTATTTTGTGGACTTGCCCGAATTTTTTACAAAACCAACTTATGCATTCACTATTGCTTAGTGAAGTAGTGTCACCTAAAGATAATGAGTTATGGATTAAAGTGAATAGCACCAAGTTGCGCTTTGGACTTGCAGAGTTTTGTATTATTACAGTTTTAAAGTGTAATGGTGATCCCAATAAGGATTATGAATCTATCCAGTCGAGTTGGTTGATGGAATTGTACTTTCCAAGCATGTCAAAACTGTCTAAGAAATCGTTAACTGACTGTTTCTTAAACAAGATGTGGAAATCTGATGAGGATGCATTAATGATTGCAGTGTTGTATTTCATTCACAGTTTCCTGTTTTCTACTACGAATGATGATTTGATAACAAAGAATGATTTTCTGTTGGTTGAATCTGGTGATTTTGAGACTTTCCCTTGGGGAAAAGTGATTTTTAATGCTACGTTGTGTTCAATGAAGGATAAGGTTCGCAGTAGGAGAGAGATATACCGATATGGTAGTTTGCCTTTGACATTCCAGTGTTGATTTTATGAATGCTGCCCCTATACTCGCAAAAACCTCGCTTGCCGGATTGGAAATCTTATGCCACACATACTTAACTGGAAATTAAAGAAGAAGGTGACGTTTAAGAGGTTAAGGAAAGAGTTTTTTCTTTTTAAGTCAGGAGCAGGTAAATGATATATATTTCTGTTACATAAATTATACATTTCTGATACATACATTATACATTTTGGATATATTTCTGATACATGAATTATGCATTTTTGATACATTTGGTGATTGCTAACTTTTATTTATTTATTTGTAGTTGGTGTTTGGTAACATTTCCCCAACAAATGATGAACAAACAAGGCTTCAATTGGATAACTTTGTCCCGGTTTGTGAAGATAAAAATGAGATTCATATTGAATCTGGAGTCGTGGATGAAGTTAAAACAAATGTTAAGAAGCACTCCAAAAATAAGCTAGAATCACAATCTATCAACAATGAGAATCCGAATCCACAGTCCAGTAACTTGAATTCAAGCGAGAAAGAGCTGAAACTTATGAGAAGTGAAATCAAGAAGGTACAATTCTATTTTGTCTTTGAGTAGTTCTGACAACTTAATTGATATTCGGTTTCACTTTTCCTTTTATAGGTAAACTACAAGGTTTCATCTTTGGAGTACTTAATGATTTCCTCATTTAAAAAGGTTTTTAAAGCTCTAGGTATACGCAATGCTTCAAAGGTATTCTCATGACTATGCTTATTTGTTATTTTTACCTTTTACTATAATTTTACAACTTGTTGTATATTTTTTCTAAACAGGGTAATCAAAAAAATGACAACCATCATGATAAGGAATTTTCAGAGAATAATTTTGGTACTGAGGAAGTTATGGAGAAAAATATTGGCATTGAAAAAGTTGTAAAGAAAAATATTGACAATGAGGTAAGTCTAGAGCAAACTGTTGATGTTATGGAGGGTGCGGTGAAGGATTCTATACAAGATGGTAAAAGTAGTGAAGGAGTTGGTGATGACGAAGCCTGGATTGAGGATGCCGAGCCTGAAATCACTACAATCACCCAACAGTTTTGTGACAAAAATACTTATAATATGGGGAGTTTGGTGGATGATTCTGTACAACTTGGTAAAAATAGTTGTGAGGAAGGTGGTGAGGACAATAGCTGGAGTAATGATGCTGAGGCTCAAATAACTGCAATCACCCAAATGTATTTCAATCAAAATATTGTACATGGTGATTGTTTAGGAGTGGAGAAAAATATTGCTACTATGCAGGAAGATCATATAGTTGTTGTTGATCATGCACACCTGAAATGAACCCTAGAGAAAGGAAACCAGCAGGGGTCATGAAGTCACCATTCATAAACACATTTGACTCTGGTGGTACCATCCAAGTTGTTGAAAACAAGCCAACTAAGTCAAAGAAGCCCATCTTGACTATATAGTATCCTTTTGAGGGAAATGTTGACAATCCTGTTAATTTCAAAGGATTGTGTAAGTGGAAAACTTTCATCAATAGAGACATAAGGACTAATGCACCGTAAGTTTTACGTTTCAGTTTTTTCTTATTTCTTTTTTTGTTCTTGTTTATTCCGTGTTATGAACCATATCTTTTTATCATGATTCATCAGGGACGGTGTTTATACAGAGGCTGGCAATAATCTAAATAAAATCTTTGAATTTGGAGTTGATGATATTGGAGAAAAAAATGGTTCTTTACATTTAAATATCCCGGCCTACCCTTGTGTGATTCAGTACGTCAACACTTTAACTGTAAAATATAAACTGGTGATATACATTTTTAGTTTTCTCATACTATAATTTTCTGACTGTGTATATTCTTCACATTTCAGCATATTGATGAAATTTCTTACTATTTGAGAAAGAAAGGGAAGTACGGTGTTGATGTTCCAATAAGATTCACAACAACTGACTGTTGGTTTAACTGCTTGATTTCGAATTTATACAAGGAGTTTTTGGAGAAAAATAGAGACATGAATTTGATTACTGAAACAGATCCAATTGTTTAGTATATACTTGGGTATTTTTTAAGATGTAATGTTCCTTGGTCTACTGTTGATGAAATCCGTCTCCCTATAAATCTGTCTGATAAGTGGCACTGGATATCGGCGAGATTGTCATTCAAAGATTTGCACATTTATGTATATGATTCCATGAGTGGCGCATGACAAAATAGTGCAGTTCAGAGATTAGTTGAGCCATACTCAGTGTTGCTCCCATATTTCCTTCATTGTATTGGTTTTTGGGACACAAAGGAGAATCCTATGGGAATCCCCGCCAATGATCCTTTTGAGATTCATGTCGTTGATAGGTTTCCAACGCAAGATAACACGTAAATTATTATTGAATATTTCTGATTCTTATTCATTCTTTGTATATGAATTCCTATTTGGATATTATCCTAACTTTTATTCAATGTTTATGTGCTACCTTGTATGTAGTGATTGTGGTGTTTATGTTGTTACATTTGCTGAGTACATCATTCAAGGCAGCAGTATTCCTAAAGCTATTGATATTGACAGGATACGGAATCGATATGGTATATTGCTATGGGATTATGGAGTGAAGAAACAAAGAGGACATGCAGCTAGTGATAATGAGTCTACTAGTAGATTGAAGGATCAGATAAAAAAGGATAACAAGAAAAAGAGCAAGTCGCATTCCATTGTTGATGACAAGTCTTTGAAGGATAACAAGAAAAAGGGCAAGACGCATGTTGGTGATGACGAGACTTTGAAGGATATCAAGAAAAAGGGCAAGTTGAAGGGCAAGATGAAGTAGTTTGGGATAGTTTAACAGAAATTTCACATGTAGTTTTAGGATGGAAGTAGTTTGGTTCTTATATTGCCTATGATAGGATACAGTTGCATACGTATATCACATTTTATGCTTTTTGTTTGGGATGTCTTTGAACTATATGTTTGAAATGCTAATGTTGAAAGAACTATTGCATTTTCGACAGCAAATTGGAAAGGCATGCAAGAAATATATGTTGCTTGTAATGTTACAGTTTTGCTGTTTTCATATTATGCCAGTGAATGGGTGATAAGAAAGCGTTTAAAACCTGTCCTATTGCATTGGACCAGTTAACTTTACAATCTTAAGCACCGTGGCATCATTAAATGTAGTGTAAGATACCGTTAACTGTAGTTTTGTATATCTATCTATATATTTTTTGTATAGTCAGAGTCTAATGTATGTAATTGTATATATATACTATTTCTATTTTGTATATTTAATTGGTAATCCCTCTTTTTTGTATAGTTTTTATATAGTGACATCTATTTTGTATATATTTTGTATAGCTATAGTTTATTTTCTATTTATTTTGTATAGGAACAAAATATTACATATAATTGTATAGTGACAGTCTATTTTGTATATTTTTGTATAGTAACAGTCTTTTTTGTATATTGTCATCTATTTTGTATAGTGACATCCATAATAGTATTTGAAATAAAACTTCTACCAATACTTTCATTATGACAAAAAGTAGCATCTTGATTCGTACATCAGAGAGAATCTGATTGCAAATCTCATTATTTTTCCAATATTCTAATTGCAATATTCAAAAGATTTTTTTTACAAAATACTAAATCACTATAGCAACATCTATTAGTTGTCTTGAGTATTCCTGCATGTTTTTCTGTTATGTCCTTGTTTTCCACACAGTCCACATGTAACAGTTTTAGTATACAGATATTCATAAAGTCCCTTGCGTCGTGACTTCGTCGGTCTTCTTGGTTTGCCCTTCACTATCGGTGGTAGGACCACATTATCTAACACCTCTGTTGGAAGGTACCATGTAGTTTCATCAGAAAGTGGATTAACTGGCACTTCATATGTCTTCTTGAAGTATTCCTTGGTGTAATAGGCAGAACAATATTTGGGTGCTTTCATGTGTGTATAGTCCAATACTGCCATAGCATGTGGACAAGGAATCTCATCTACTTGAAATCGTTTGCACGAGCATTCCCTTATTTGCATGCAGACTATGTTCCGCCTTTGTTCCGCATCCATTACTACATATACATAATCGGTTGAAGGCTTCACCTAAATTTAAATAGATATTATTAGTAAAACTAAAACAGGGATATGACAAGTATTACTGCATTTTTGTCAAAGTATGTTACTCCGGTATATGAAGTAAGACATGATAAAGGAATATTTACCATCATCTTCTGCGACAAATAGCTATTTTCCTTCAGTATTTCATGATATTTTTTTTCCTATGTCAATAAATGTACTCATTGCAGTCATTCTATTCGTATTATTCCATTCCATAACCAAATTCATCATGTAATCTAGCAAACTCATGATTGGTAGCTCTCTTGCCTCTTTGTTCCTTGCATTGAGTGACTCGGCAATATTTGAAGTCATCACCATGGATCTATTAACAGTATAATGCACTATAGACCACTTTGCATAACCAACTTGGAATAGGTAACCCCTTACCCTCTTATCAATGCTGTCCATATCTTCCATGAGGCAATTAAAATCTTCAATTTTGTATGCTCTGGCCATTGCAAAAAATACTTCCCTCAACCGGTCATGGTTTTTCTTGAACTGCTTCTTTATGTTATTCCAAAGATGAAAAATGCATACACAGTGAGATACCTCTGGATACACAATCGAAGCATCCCTCAATATGCTTGCATGACGATCCGATACGACGCACATCCTTTCCCTTTCCCCAAAAGCCTGTCTAAACATTTCAAAAAACCATTCCGAGGAAGCATCACTTTCAGAATCTACAACAGTGTATACTAGTGGAAAATTTTTACCTGCTTAAGCAAATAAGAAAGTATCCACATGTTATTTTTGTTATACACAAATAAGAACTATCTATACCATATATAATTATTATACGAGTCTGCAACATATTCACCTGCTGCATCTTGTGCGCTAGCTGTTAATAGTCTTCCTCTGTGTGATGATTTGAGGAATGTCCCACCAACCACTACGATAGGGTAACAGTATTTCCATCCTATGATTGATGCATTTAGTGCAATAAAAATATACATGAAGCGACCGTCCTCTGATTTATGTAACCTTGTGACAGAACCAGGATTTGTCATATTTATTATATACAAGTGACCCGACAGTTTTCTATAAGATTCACGTGGTATCCCTCTTAGTAGTTCAAGCGTCTTTTCTTTTGTTCTATAAGCTTTTATGTAACTCATATTAATCCCATACTGTTGTTTCATGTCGCTCATGATATCTGTCGGAGTGTATATTGTTTTTGGATTGGTATATTTATTGGAATGGCTGACGAAGTAGCATGACGTTGTGAAAACAATCTACTCATCTCTGGGCAAGTGTGAACATCATTGAACCGTCTAACCTTGAAGACATTTGATTTGTGTAGACTTGAAGATCTAATACTCCATTTGCAACTTTCATCCACGTATGTAAGACAATACATATTTAAAATATAGTGTTATGATAATGCATTTATTCAGAATTTTACACGTGTCTCAAATAAACAAGAAGTATACATATGCAATCTTATTATACAATAATTATACATTTTTAACACAGATCTGTATACAAAAAATTACAGAGAAGTGCAATCTTATTATACAATAATTATACATTTTTTATACAGATCTGTATACAAAAAATTACAGAGAAGTGTAATCTTATTATACAATAATTATACATTTTTATATAGACCTGCATACAAAAAATTATAGAGAAGTGCAATCTCACTATACAATAATTATACATTTTTTATACAGATCTGTATACGAAAAATTACAGAGAAGTGTAATCTTATTATACAATAACGATACATTTTTATACAAATCTGTATACAAAAATTACAGGGAGTGCACTCTTATTATACAATAATTATACATTTTTTATACAGATCTGTATACAAAAAATTACAGAGAAGTGCAATCTCATAAGTAGAAATCATACCTTGCTGTAGATGATCTATCCACTATAAATTGATATTTTTTCCGTATTGCGTAGTGCTTCATTACACTAATGAGTGTATTTTTGTCCCAATACAACTGACCTTCTGCAATTTCTTCTTGTTATGGATTGTCTATTATATAATTTCCCTTCAATATCTCAATTTTGTCTTCCTTTACATGATTATCCTTCATTTCAACAATCTTAGTTCCATGTACTTCTTCTATGTTCTGACATTGTAAACCAACTGAAGTTGTTGCGAGTAAGTTTCCAACTGAAGTTGTTGCAAGTAAGTTGCCACCCAAGTATGAACTTGAATATGAGCATTCAACACTTGAATATACATTTTTCAATGTTATGCATAATGGATATTCAGTGATATCCAGGTTTTTCTTTTTCATCTCCATGTACAAGTGCACACTCATATCATTATATATTGGAATTGCTACATAGCCATCCTTCACTGTATATTTTATATCCATTGCACTCGTAATTGAATCTCTACCCAATTGCTTGTATATCTCATCAACAAAATAATCATAGTTACAGTCCGAATTGATCAACACGCCATTAACAAGGAAATTAACAAATTTACTCTCACTTACCAATTCACCATTGTGTTAAAGTAAAATCGGAATTAAAGTTGGAACTGTGGTTCCAAAATTCACAATCTCCATAGACATTTGTTGATTTTGTATCAATTTCACAATTTAAGAACGAAATCTCAACTCTATTAAGCTGATTGTAGGCAGCAATTGTGCAAAAAATTTGAATTTCAGTGTGAATTTTTGGGAGCTCTTCTCTGGGTTTAATCTTCAGAAACCCTAGAATTTCTTTCACAATGTGAATAATTGGGCGACTTTTATAGTGTTTGGAGGTTGAAGATTCCATACTGAATGTGTGAATTTAGGATACAAAATCGATTAGGACTGTTTTCCTTTTCGTTTGCGTTGAGCGTATGATTTCAGCCTTTTCAGTTGCTAGCCTTTGTTATTGTTTTGAGGCTATTACTTGTAAGGGGTTATTTTGTGGCTATCAGGTGATATAAGTTTGACCCTAGTGGCTATAAATGAAGTTTGCTCTAAAATAATTAACACCTGAACAAAGAATATAAATTTGCCCATTCACCCAATCCGGTCCCTTTATAAAGGAAAAAGTCCACCCAAAAGTCGTACAACGCTCTTTATTATAAACGGGCAGGATTGGGACGAATTGGGTGTATGGGTGGATTTTTATACTTTACTTGACTGTTAATTCTTTTTATGTGGTCCAAAAGTATATGTGGACTGCCAAGTCAGCATTTTCTATTGACAAAAATCAATAAATCTGGTTGAATGATCATCAGAAATCAATAGGGATAGTTAAGTAATTTTTTTATTACAAATAAAAGAAAAGTAAATTTAGTCCACAATTTCACATAGTTCAGTAAATTTTTTAGTAATGGACTCGTCGATCTTTTCATTTTCTCTCTTCTTAAAAAACTTTTTTATCAAGAGAATCTCAATAATTTATGTAGAAAAAGTAAATGAGACTGTGTAACGACCCAACCGGTCATTTTGAGCATTTGTATTCGCTCGGTAGTTTGGGGGCAAGTAGCTCCATATGATGTATTAGAACTTGTGTAAAAAATTTGAGTTCATTCCAAGTTGATTTAATATGTTTCGGCGTGAGGTCCATACGATATTGTTATGCGTGATTTGAGGCCTCGAGTAGGTTAGTATTATGTTATGAGTCTTGTTGGCATGTTCGTACGGAGTCCCGAGGGGCTCGGGTAAGATTCGAATAGGTTTGAGCTGTGTTGCGCTCGTTTTTCTTATGTTTCGTCGTCGTTTCTTCAAGCATAAATGGTACTGCATTAAAAAAATGAGCTCCAATTTCTATTTTGATGTAAACATTAGATCCTTATCGTAATTACATAGCCATAGCAAAAAGAATCGTTGAATTTAGACATCGTATGAGGATTTTATGATCATTTTACTAAGAATTAGGTTGTTAGATTTTTCTGATTAATTACGAATTTGCCACTGACTTCGTATTTTAAAATCTATACTATTTCAAAATATTGAAACCAACATATCTCCTTCATTATAAGGTCAAATGGAGTGATTCAAAAGCCAAACTTGACTGAATTTTCACAAGGAATCCATTGGATGCATTAAAAGTAAGTTTCAGGATCGTTTGACACATAAAACGAGACAGAACAACTAGACAAAAATATTTAATATCAAGGGTTTGTTCATTTGGCCATATTTTGAGTTGTGGAGCTCGGGTTTGGGCAATATTTTATGCGATTTTTACCATATAAATTGGGGCAAGTATTCCCTACTCGTTTTTTGTTATATTTTGTGAATCTATCGTTATTTTTGATAATTGGATTGCGAAATTTAAAGTGAAAATTGGGGGTTTTGTCCAAAGTTTCATAGAGTGAATTTTTTGAGTTTTGAACATCGATACATAGTTTGACTTGGGTGAAACTAGTATGGTTGGGCTCTGAATTGAATGATTGTCGAATTTTGTGAGTTTTGTCGGGCTCCGAGGCACGAGCTCGGGTTTGACCTTTTGGTACATTTTGGAATTTTGATTAAAGATTCGATCTTTATCAATTTGGTTTGTTTCCTTTAGCATTATTTGATGTCTTTTGAGTTGTTTTTGGCTACATTCGAGCCGTTCGAAGGTCAGTACGCACGGGATAGAATTATTGGAGCGTCGTATGGTTTGCTCGGTATTGGATTTGTCTTGTTCAAGGTAAGTAACACTTCTAAACTTTGGGCTAAGGGTATTAAATCCTGAATTACGTGTTATGTATTTGGGGTTGAGGTAACGCACATGATAGGTGATGGGCGTGTAGGCGTGCACCATGTGAATTGTGACTCCGTTATTCATGTCGTACTGTGTCGTTACCTGATCTTATCTGTAACCATGAAATCTCTACATACTAGAGCCATTGAGTTGTGATCCATGTATAAACTAATTATGGGATTTCTCTAAGTTTTACTGTCATTTCCCTGTTATACCATACTGTTATTATATTGATTTGGATTGTACATTTCTGAATTCGTCATTGCTTTCAGCCCAAGGTTAGTCCTGTTACTTATTGAGTACATTGGGTTGGTTGTACTCATACTACACTCCGCACTTTATGTGCAGATCAGGTACATATTGTCCTGGTGGTTGCTATACTTGGAGCATTACTTCATGGAGACTTTTGAGGTAGCTGCTTTAGCGTCCACAGACCTCAACTCTCCTTCTTTTCATTTTATTAAGCATAATTGTTTACCCTAAAATTCGAGTAACAATTAAACTTGTATTGTAATTTTAAGGATATGTGATTTGATTCAATGTCAATTGATAGACAAGGAATTAAATAGATAAATTAAAGAATAAAATAGATCAAACCAGTGTGTAAGCAAAATCTTGACCTCGAACTGTGACGAGGTATGATAATGGGAATAAAAAATGTTAAAACAACTATGATGAATAGTACGTGAAATAGCAAAAGAATAACAAGCGTATATTTTCTTATCAATGAGCAATGGATCCCCCTTTATATAATATGGGAGTCCTAAATAAGGTACACATCCAATTATAGTACGAAATCATAATTGACAAACTTTTAGCCGATGAAGTCCAATCCATTCAAAAAATTTCACTGTGATCTCCGGCCCGTTGCGGGTGTCTCGCTTTTTCCATTACTGACTCATACCGCCATCACCTCGAAGCATGGCTTCTTCTGACCTCGGTAAGTGTTATCGACCATGACATTGGAAAGGAACTTCGACCATGAGCTCCACGCTTTGGTTTTCCGATGTGGTATCACCTTTTCCATCGAAGATCAAAATTGGGTAGCTTTGATTTCCATCGTATACTGATAATCCCCTCGTTTCTTAGATTAAAATAATAATAAGCAACTTGAGCCTTGATTTTTCGGAGACCCCGATAATGATGTCATCCCTGTGACGTAAGCATTCGAGGTGATCAAAATGTCCCGTCAGTTCGGTTCTCCAAAACATTAAATGCTTGCTAGTGACGGTCGGCCACTAGCGCCACCAAACCGTCACTATGTACCTATAAATACATGTTTCCCATTTGAATCAAAACATTACTTTCATCTTCACCAATTTCTCTAAGTCTCTTCCTCTCTCTATCTCTTCTC